AAATATAAATTCTTTTTCACTTAAAATTTTAATTCAAGTAATGATTATCCTATCTCAATAGTTCATTGTATGATGAGTATCGATTCAAATTAGAATTAAAACTGTTCAGCAGTACATGACATGACAAAAGTTCATAAATGCGTTATGGTAACTTTTAAATTATTATAATATCTTATCGATCAAAGTCTGCATGTCTTTTTTTAGAGCAAAGTATAGCACCGGAGTAGAATCGTAAATCTGCCACGTTCTGGAATCTTATTTTCAATAGAATATAAAACATAGTTTTAGAGAATCTGTCAACTTTGAACATTTCAAAATAATTTGAGTAGGTGTGATCGTATGTGTAGATCTTTTTTGTCTCTAGAAAAAATAAATAAATAAATAAATAAACGACATTAGACGAGTAATTTCCATTTGACATGTTTGATTTATTTCTTAGGAAAAAGCTTTAAACATTCTTTTTTCATTAGAACTAAACGTAGTGTATTTGGACCAACTGTGATGGAAATCGAGAAATTTCTTTTTCGTCAATGATTTCCGAAACAATCTTTGTATGAAAAATGCTTATTGAAATATTTCATTTACTTTTAAGTTAATAATAAAAAATACGACAAGAAAAGTAACATAATGAATTATCTAATATTTTTCTATTTCCCTATTTTTATTCTACTATATTCACCGAATGTTTATCATCGAAGTAGGAAATAACTCAAGAATGAATTTTCATAGTATACAATTTGTAAATTTATTCAATAGCAAGATGTTTACAATGTCTAGTTAATGAACTAAGATACCTACTCAATTGAAATCATTGTAATGACATGGAAGTATGAAACATTGCATTATTTGTACTTATATTTGAATTGAAAATTAATTACTCTAAACATTATATTCTTCATCATACAAATCTACATATCTTGCATATAGTTGGGTGTAGATATGCTAGTATATAGATTAATATTCGTAGTGTTGCAATAAAAAAAAAATTGTTCTTCTTGTTTTGTTCCTACTTTCATTATGTCTAATGTAACCATAATAAAAATTGTCGACCTGGCAACGTCCATGTTTTTTGTTCGTTTGTGCCAGCATGAAAAAAAACTCAAGTGACGATTGCTTAGATGAAAAGTAAACGCAAGTTGGAAAGAATAACAATAGAAGAAATGACGTCGTTGCATATTTTCTCTTTCATTTATTATTGACAACCATATTTCAAATTGAAACTATATGAAATTTACTGTTGAGTGTCAACGAAAGAAAAAAAACAACATTCAACGTCATAGAATCCTGTTTGATTGTTTTCTTTGAATGAAGATATTACTTCTATTTTCTCGTATTTATAATTATATCATGAAGACAAATGTTAGCAAATAGTGTAACAATTTTTCTGTATTCAATATATGTAGTAGAGAGTTGTTTAGCTGCTAATTTGTCTCGGAAACTATTTTGTCGTTGAGAAGCCTTGCTCTCTCATTGAAGAAGTCGGTTTCAATAGCCATCAATCTCTCACTTAATATATCGTAAAAATATATGATAATAATTCGATGTCATTTCTTTCTTTTTTTGTTTTATTTCAAAGATAAAAACATAAATTATAGGTTGTTAACATTCCATCAATTAGATTAGTAGTCGTGAAAATATGACATTTTTTGTCTAGGATCATCTAAAAAACTTTAAAAGTTCTTATATTGTATGAAAATTACCTTCGTAGGAAGCAGTTATCATCTTTCATTTAAAAATACTGTTATATGGCTGTTTTTTACTAATGTTAGTAGGAGAAATTTTACCAATACCTAGATGATATTTCATGAAATCTTCTAGTATTTAAAATTCCTTTGTTTAAAAATAATGATGCATTCTATTGTCTTCGTATCTAGATAAAAATAGATTCTTTGTTTGTCGTTCATCAATTTATTTTTATCGATTTCTGAATAATATTCGACTTATGTTTTAGTTCACTTTAACTAAGTAGTAGAGATCGGTTATGTATAAACTCGTTTTTTATATCACAATAAATCTATAAATATTTTTGTTCCTCTAGAATAAAAGTGAATGCTCTGGAGAACTCTCTCTGTAAAACATTCATTCGATTTTAAGGATGTAAATATGACGCTTATCATATTTAGTCTTTAGATCTTCACAGTATTAGATACTTCAGAGTTGACGACTATTGAGAGATAAAATGAAAGTAATGTTGTAAACAGCGTTGAATTGGTTTCGATGCATTGTTCATGATTCGAGCATGCCAATACGAATAAAGTATAACAATAGAGAATGAAACAAAAACTAAGAAAAGAAAAAAAAACGAAGAAAATATAATCTTAAATTTTTTCAGCAGTCTCTTGTTTACATAGTCTACTTTCATATTGTTGCTCACTATACAGAGACAAATGAAACGAGAAGAAAAAAGTTCTTGATGGCAACAATAATATATAATTGCTTTTTGTTTTTTTTCAGTTGTTTTTTTTTTCAGAACAAACCTAATGGAATCGTGAAATTAATATTTATACTAATATATTTTTTACTCCTGGAACAAACTTCTTTTTGTGCAAAGGAATGTCATATGTGCTGTTACGATTCTATTTTATATTTGCGATTTCTTGATAGAGAAAGAAAGGCTCGTATTGTAAATATCTCGAGTATCATGTCAGCAAAATTCTAATTGTTATTCTATTAATTGTATGAGTTCCGTTTAAATAATCTAATGACGACATTTGTCACATTCAAAAAAACGTATGAGTATAGTATTTCTTGTCTAATACAAATGTGAACATACATGTAACTTTCATACTCAAGTATGGGTATCAATATCCAAAAAATAAACCATTAATTCATTCTCACTTTTAAATTTAATGCAAGTAATGATTATCCTATTGAAATAATTCATTGTATTTATTAGTAGAACATGACATGGCAAAAGTTCATTGATCCAATTCGATAACTCTTCAATTATTAAAATATCTTATCGATCAACGTTTGTGCATACCTTTCTGTAATAAAATAGATCTACAGATTCGAATCGCAAATTTGCCACGTTCTTAGATACCATTATTAATAGTATACATAGATAGAATATTTCTGTCTACTTGTTTTATCTTCATAGAAACATATTGCAAGTTTTTATTCATCAATCAGGAACCTATTGATATGTATGCATATTTCGTTAATAATAAGAAAGACAACAATATCTAAAAATTTGTTAAGATAGTTCATTTGATAGAGCTTTTTATGCTAAAAAGTTCTGTAAAATAAAATACACAAGATTTTTTTAATACCATTTTATTTTTATGAGTGACTATTCATGAAAATACCCTCTCTCAAAATTGTAATCGATCGATATCTTGAATAATTCCTTGCATAGAAACACCGAGAAGGATTTCGTATACAGCGCTGGACCAGCTAGATTGACTAAGCAAAAGTCACATATCTCAAAAAATTCTTTGCCAAAGTAGAAAGGTTTGAGAATTCAAATTAGGAAACTTTGAATCACTTTTATGACTATGAGAAACAGTATATATCATTGTGGAATTAAGTAAAATGATAATTGTTAATAATATGTACTATTGTCTCATAATGGAAAAAGTGATTGCTCCATTATTGCTTCAACGTAAATAAATTACATTTTTCTTTTTTTTTTTCGTTGTTGCAAAAATAAGAGAAGAAAGAAACACGCTCTCATACTTGTTGACACTCAAGTTATTCCAGAGATGTACAAAGAAAAAAAACGAAAGTTGGAAAGAATAATTGAGTTTTTTTCTCTTCCGTTTGTTGTTGACAACCATATTTTTAATTCGAATTCGTTGGACTTCAACCTTGAGTGTCAACAAAAAACAAAAATAATTGGCATTGAATAAATAGAAAAGCTACTACATCTTCAAACAACATTCTATTATTCACAACTCACGATCATCAATCAAGCAGCAAACATGGCATCGAAAATGAGCCGATATCGAAGACAAGGTATGACTGAAGGTTATATAGTTATTTGGGTTGATGGAAACATTGACATGACAAATGAAGACTGCGAAAATACAATGGTACAATTGCGAGAAGTCGTAAATCAAGTGCAACAATGTACAACACCTGACCAATGTATTCAACTACTGAACGAAAATCAAGAGGAGATTTCATTTGTTATCTCTTCCGGTGCAATTGGCCAACATCTAGTGCCAACAATTCATGATATGACAAAATTAAATGCCATATTTATATTTTGTGGCAACCAACAACAACATCAAGAATGGGCTCAAAATTATATAAAGATCAAAGGTGTTCATACATCCATCAAACATATTTGCGAAAACTTGAAAATGGCTATCAAACAATGCAATCAGGACAATATACCGGTGAGCATTGTTAGTCTGACTGAAGGAGGTTCTAGCAAAAATCTTGATCAGCTAGAACCTACTTTTATGTATTCACAAATATTCAAGGAAATACTCCTTGAAATAGAACATAATCAAAAAGCCATTCAAGACTTAGTTACATATTGCCAACAAGAATACAAAGATAACAACAAGGAATTGAAAATTATTCATGAATTTCAACGTGCATATCAAGCATCCAATGCCATATGGTGGTATACAAGAGAATGCTTTACATACAAAATGTTAAATGGTGCACTACGGACACTCAACGGCGATATTATGATTCGCATGGGCTTTTTTTTATGTGATATACATCGACAAATTGAACATTTGCACAAAGAACAGGTCAGTCAATATCATGGGAAAGTCTTTACAGTCTTTCGAGGACAAGGTTTCTCGAAAGAAGATTTTGAAAAGCTCGCAAATAATAAAGGCGGGCTTATTTCTTTTAACAACTTTTTATCTACCAGCAAAAATCGTGATGTCTCAATTAAATTCGTCAACAACGCTTTACGCTCAACCAATATGGTCGGTATTCTGTTTCAAATAATTATTGATCCTACAATTTCAACGACTCCTTTCGCCTCCATCGAGGAGGTGAGTTATTACAAAGGCGAAAAGGAAATTCTTTTCTCCATGCACACCGTTTTTCGAATTGGTGACATTCGAAAACTTGATAAGAAAAGTCCACTTTATGAAGTGGATCTTAAACTTACCTCAGATGATGATCAACAACTTCGTCAATTAACCGACCGTATACGAGAAGAGGTCAACGGCACTGGATGGTATCGAATGGGTCAATTGCTGCTCAAAATTCGTCAACTTGACAAGGCCGAAGAATTATACACAGCACTACTAGAACAGGCTTCTAACGACAGCGATAAAGCATATATCTATCACCAACTTGGAATGATGAAAAATGGCAAAGGGCAATATACAGAAGCAGCTTCATTTTATGAAATGTGTCTCAAAATTGAACGAAAAACTCTACCAGAAGATCACCCTTCATTAGCTAATATCTACAACAACATCGGTGGAGTGTATTACAACACGGGTGACTACTCTAAAGCAGTGAAATTCTACGAAAAAACAATTAAAATAAAAGAAAAAGCTTTGTCTCCTAATGATCCGGATTTGGCTCTGTCCTACAACAACATCGGTCAAGTGTATAACAACATGGGTGACTACTCAAAAGCACTTGAATTTTTCGAAAAATCACTTAAAATCTACGAAAAAGCTCTGCCTCCGAATCATCCCTTATTGGCTGCTTCCTACAACAACATCGGTGCAGTGTATAACACGATGGGTGACTACTCGAAAGCACTTAAATTTTTCGAAAAATCACTTAAAGTAAGAGAAAAAGCTCTGCCTTCGAATCATCCCGATTTGGCTCAATCCTACAACAACATCGGTCAAGTGTATAATGACATGGGTGACTACTCGAAAGCACTTGAATTTTACGAAAAATCACTTAAAATAAGAGAAAAAGCTCTGCTTCCGAATCATCCCGATTTGGCTACTTCCTACGACAACATTGGTGGAGTGTATAACAACATGGGTGACTACTCGAAAGCACTTGAATTTTACGAAAAATCACTTAAAATAAGAGAAAAAGCTCTGCCTTCGAATCATCCCTCATTGGCTACTTCCTACAACAACATTGGTGGAGTGTATAACAACATGGGTGACTACTCTAAAGCACTTGAATGTCACGAAAAATCACTTAAAATAAGTGAAAAAGCTCTGCCTCCGAATCATCCCGATTTGGCTTATTCCTACAACAACATCGGCGGAGTGTATGGCGACATGGGTAACTACTCAAAAGCACTCTCATTCTTAGAAAAGGCACTTTCAATCTTCCAAAAATCACTTCCACCTAACCATCCTAATATTAAAAGAGTTAAAAACTCAATTGACAATGTAAAAAAGGAAATGTAACTGTAATTTTTTCTTTTTGACTTGCTCAATAAATTTATTCATATTGCTAATCGTTTCGATTTTTCTCTGCTCATTTTGGCTTACCCGCGCGCGCGCGACAAGGAAGAGATCCCTTATCAATGCCATAGGTACCACAGGCAGACCACGCCGGACTGGTAGGGCAATGGCCGAAGGTATGCCGTATGAACGGTAGGGACCAACGACACATAGAGGCCTTCCCTAGTACTACACTGCTTCGCTATGGCAAAGTTCCTCTGCCTATTGAATCAGACAACGTAGCTATCTGACCCACATTGATAACTCAACTCAACTCATCTCAAATAATCTCATACTCATACTCATAAATAACTGACAGTATTTATTTTTTCTCGAAATAAGTTATCTCAACTCAACTCAGCATGTAAAAAAAACAAATTTTTTTCCTACCTCTCAATATTGTATTATATCGTAGTTCATCTAAAAAAAAGTATTGTTAAATATAAAAACAAGTAATTTACCTTATTTAAAATATAATAATATCATTATCATTGTAAATAATATAATAATAAATAATGTACCCGGGTATATAATTACATTGTAATGCATCATATTGAGAAAACACAAATGTAATGTTTTACGATGATGCATCGATGTTTTTATATACCCTATGGTTGATTGATTGATTTTTTATCAATCATTCCACATACGTGAATTGATATGTTCAACACGTAACCCTACATAATTGATTTGATGATCAATTTTTATGTAGTGATATGTGTATGTTTTATTATCCTTTTTTTTCTCGTCTGACGTAGATCGATATAATGTCGTCGTCGTCGAAAAAGAAAAGTATTGATCTTATATATATGTAGGGTGTGGATTGAAGAAAATATTAACATTCACATTCACGCGCAACTATTCAACATACACAAGAGGTAACTTCGTTCAAATTTTTTATTTATTGATTCAGCTAAAAATTTTAGAATGTTATATAGAGGATCGGAAACTTATTCACGTAGATAAATTTATATGGAAATCTTATAATTAAAATTTCTGAAATATCTTAAAGTACATTGTTTCTTTTTGATGAAAATGTCACGTCTTTTGATTTATCTTAGACTAAGAAAAATGAAAAAATCTAATTCATTTAAAAATATTTTTTTAATTTAGATTTTGTTAAATCTTCAAATATTTCTTTACAAGTACTATTAAACAATTCTTTAATTAATATTCATATAATAAGCATTCGACAACCAATGATTTATTCATTTGGATTATTTCATATACCAATCCATAGAAAATACTTCAATATGAGGATAAAAAAAACACGAATTGGATCTATTCTGTTTCATAGTTTTTATTTAACTAAAAAAGTAATCCTAAAAGAATATGTTGACACGAACGAAAGTGATTTTCAAGTTGTTGTACTCGATTCATTTATTCAATCACTTTTAATCAATCTTAATTATAATATACTAAAGACTGATAAAATTTCTTGTATATGTAATCTATTGCATATTTTTAAATAGAATTTTCTTACTCGTATTATCAATAAACTTGAAATGATTGAAGAAATTAGCAAACTATGATAAATCATCAAATCATCGTCTTGCAAAATTCCTTAAAAGCAAGTAAACATTACCTACAACCTATGGTAAGAAGAAAAGACAAAAAAAAGATTTTCAAGTAATATACTTTTTGTTGATTTATAATTACATGTTACTATTGCGTCATCTAAGGTTATTTTTCTTCCTTTGATAACCTTGGATTTCACTTTACTTTTTGTTTCAGATAGGATCAATCACTTATGAATATTTATTCTACATAATTAACAAATTTTATTTTTGTATCATTATTTGAATTATGATTTGATTAATTGATCCATTTATTGTTATTTTTGCGAGCATTACCAAATAGAAAGATTCGTCTTTTTTTTTTTTACTTATGAAATTTTTCTAAAGTTTAAATTTTTTTTTAGAATATCAATCGCCAACCTTCAAATCAATGGTTAATGAATTTAATTAGAATTGTTCGATGTCTTGTACAAAATCGAAATGACATTAATTTACATGTTTATTTATGGATATTATCGATAATGGTAATGAATCAAAATAATAATTTATTTGTAGATATGAATATGATAGTCAAGCAATAGAAACCTCACGTATAGTTATGAATAAGTACGTAAAAGTTTTCGATCGGTATGATTGATTTAAAAATCTCGATGTGAAACTTTAGCAGAAAAAGCTAAATAGATAAAAACTGACTATCAGTGATAGAAAATCAGCTGCTTTTCGTTTTGACTTTAAAATTTCTATGATCTTATAAGATTTCTAATTTTATTTTAGCTAAACAATTCTAAATAGTTTTCGTGAATTCTTAATTCATGATGAAACTGTACATTGTCTTGATACATTTTCATATTCAGCCATTTTAAGTGAATATATACCTTCAATTATTATTACAATGGATACATATTCTTAATATGCTTGATTATATACAAAAAACATGATTATTAGAAAAATTAATACAAGTATATATGTAAATAATTTTCTTGGTCTTATAGATCGTACATTAGCTGGAAATCATTTTACTTATTCAATCGATATATACTATTAGGAGTAATTTATTAAAACGAAATATATTATCATTAATATTGTTAAAATTCTTCGTACACTTAAACGAATACATTTAGATGACAGTGGTCGTTTATTAGATTTATTGACTCAACGATTTCTTACATCACCATATATATGTATAGATAGATAGATGGAAATTGATGACATTTCTCATTGAACATGAATCATTCAACAGTTAATATCATCGATCTATGCGACGACATATGGCTTACCATTTTCGAAAAACTCAAT